CTCACTCTAGATCTCAGCTGCATAGCAACTGTACTTTAATCCTTTTAGAACCCTTGATATCTTAAAAAAAAAAAAAAAAAAAACTTTTTCCTGTACTTTCTGTTAATGGTCCTGATGTTAGTTAGAATTTGTTCTCTCTCTCAAGTCCTTTTTTTGATATTTGGACATTTATAAAATAATGGACATGGAGTTTAAAGGATTCTTACAGATGAGTGGATCCAACCTATTATCAATTGCCAGGAAATGTAAAGATTAGGTCGAGTTTTAATCAAATTATAATCTAATGCCACAGTAAAAATTATTTATGTATATATACACACACATATGTATCTTTCTCATATATATGTGTATGTATATACATATATATATCATATATATATATGCATACTTCAATGTTGCAATTTTATTCTCTCTCTCAAAATACATTTCTACCCTCTGCTAATTGGCTGTGTGTGTTGAGAGGCATATATATATATATATATATATATATATATATATATATATATATATCTTGAGATACCCTCTTTTAACTGAAGTTAGATACCCTCTTTTAACTTCTCTTTTAATGGGAAATACGAATTTATTCATTTTTATGGGACTCTATAACTCTGGAAATGTTTTCTTCACTGTAATTAACTGATAGGATCCTCTCTGCTCAGAGATGTTCAATAAATGATTATTTGGTACAATATGGAAGGGTGGACAAAACTACCCAGTTCTTCAGACAAAAAGCATAAAAGAGTTAGGTTTTCTGTCTGTGGTATGGGTGTCTCTGTTAAGTAAGTAGGTAGCTGGGCTATGGATAATCAAGAGGATTTCAAGAAATGTAAGAAATACAGTCAGGCCTTTGTATCTATAGGTTCTGCATCCTTATATTCAACAAACTTTAAATCAGAAGTACTTGGAAAAAAAAAACTCCATCTACACTGAAAATGAACAGAGTTATTTTTTTTGTCATTATTCCCTAAACTTCAGTATAACAGATGTTTGCATAGTACTAACATTCTGTTAGTTTTTATAAGTAGTCTAGAGATGATTTAAAGTATATGGGATGATGGGCACAGGTTACGTGCAAATACAATGCTCTTTTATATAAGGAACTCGAGCATCTGCAGATTTGGGTATGTGAGGATCCTGGAACTAATTCCCTACAGGTGCTGAGAAACTACTCTATTTTCAATATCTTATAGGGTATCTATAACTCAAACAGCAATCATCTCATTAAATGAGAAAGTTGAATACTGATTTTATTATTGCTTGATATTTGCATTATTATATTGACTGCTAGAATTTAAAGTTAAAATCATCATTGTAGGCCCTGGGTTTAATCTGCAGCATTGTAAAATAAAATAATAAAAATATTAATAAATTCAGTTATTCAATTGTCTAAAACCTTGTCATCTATGGAGGAAATGAATAAATGATGTATGATGATATATATATTTAATATATGTCATAAATAGCTAATAATGTGTGTGTGTATGAACAAATTCTAAGGCTTAGAGACACCATAGAAATATTATCATAGTTCAGTAAGAATAAGAGATGGATTTTACTCTACTTAGATTAAGCTTCTTTGTCTTAAATGTCATTTTCACTATTGAAGGATATTAAGCATTCAGAATTATAAGTGAATTGAAAGAAACAAATTGTTATAATTAGAATGAGATACTCCATGTTTGTATAAATGTATCAAAATATACTCTACTTCCATGTTTATCTAAAAAGAACAAATAAAATTTTTAAAAATTGTGGAAATATAAAATAAAGTACCACCAACAACAACAACAAAAAAGAAACAAACAAATTGTGTGTTATGAAAGAGTGAGGGGTGTGTGGGATTATCTGTAATAGAGATGTCTTCCAGCTCAGTATATTCAGAGAGAATACATACAGAAGTAATGTTCAGGTCTGGGGATGTGGCTCAAGCGGGAGCGCACTCATCTGGCATGCATGCAGCCTGGGTTTGATCCTCAGATCCTCAGCACCACATACAAACAAAGAGGTTGTGTCCGCCAAAAAAAAACTAAAAAATAAATATTAAAATTCTCTCTCTCTCTCTCTCTCAAAAAAAAAAAAAAAAAAAAAAAGTAATGTTCATTTCTAAAGTTGAGCAAATCCCAAATTTTCCATGTTACTTATTCAAAAACATAACTTACCTATTTAGGATGCAAGGGGTTATTAGCTAGCACAATTTTGTTGCCTGTCTTGGCTTTAGGAAAAGCTATTTGTACTTGGCAGGTGCCTGGTCTAGAATGCAATGCCTCTGTGCTTGGGTTCATTGTAAGATGATAGGGACAAAAGAGTGAATAGCTTCTCAGGGACTGATTTTTTTTTTTTTTTTTAATAACAAAGAGGCCTCTTTGAAAACAAGAAAAAGCTCAGACACCAGCCCTGATGCTGTTACTTAGCAGAATTTCCTTAATCAGATTCTTTATTACCTGTTAAAATATGTATTTGGATTCTTCTTTGTAACCTCTTAAAGTGACACTAAGTTATTCTTGGTTTGAGGTGTTTATTTTTTTGTACTGGGGACTGAACCTAGGGGCACTTAACCACTGAGCCACATCCCAGCCCTTTTTTATTTTTTATTTTGATGCAGGGATTCACTAAGTTGCTTAGGGCCTCCCTAATTTGCTGAGGCTGGCCTCAAACTTACAATTCTCCTGCCTCAGCCTCCTGAGTCATTGGGATTCCAAGCTTGTGCCACCAAGCCAGGCTGAGATTTTCTTATCTTACTTGATGGAGACATCATCTGATAAGCTAGCTAACTACTATGGCATTGGACTCAAGTTATTTCTTCATTTAAAAAGAATAGAATATAACAGTAGAGTTTCTTTATGTCAGCAATGTTTGCCTATTGCATATTAACCATAGACATTAAAATTTGAATTATAAAACCACAGCATACAGAAGAGAGATTTAAGAGTTACATCAAATAGATAAATTTTCTCTGGTTTAGTCTTAATCACACCTATGCTATTTTGATTTAACTATCATGGTTAAAAGGAAACTTTTCTTAAATTAGCAAGTTAACTAAATTATTCTTTGCCACTTGAAATAGCTAAAAATCTGTATAAAAATTTAGGAATGATTCCTATGATGTCTTAAAGAATTAATTTATTCAGCAGATATTTATTAGTTTTTCTTTGCCAGGAAATTTTCTAGGCATTGGAACATACATGCAGAGTGAATATGATATACATTGTTGATGTTCTCACAGAACAAAAGTCTACCAGAACATTAATTACACATGTGATAATAATAAAACTTAGAAAACACAACTTTAACATTCTAATTAGGTGTATGTATAATATGTCAAAATACACTCTATTGTCATATGTATCTAAAAAAAACAAATTAATTTTTTTTAAGGAGAGCATAATTTTTTGTGAAATATAAGGGTCTGGGAGTGCCTAGCAGGGACAGATGGGAAGACAATGACAGATTCTGCAACATGATACATTCAAACCTGAAGAAATAAATAGGAGTTTGTCACAGATGGGAGTGACAGAGAAAGGCTTATAGGGGAAAGAGTACTTTGGGAGCAGGAACGCACAGAGTATAAGGGCCATGTGACCAGGATACAGTGTGCTAGGGGATAAGTGGCCAAACCTAAATCTAGAAAAGGAAGGAGGACCATGCTGGAGGGGCCTCAAAAACCATGGACCGTGTACCAGAAACAAGGAATCCATGGGAGGTTTTTAGCAGAGCAAAATAATTTCACATTTGTACTTCAGAAAATCCTTTTATCAAGAGTGTGGACAATGGATTAGTGAGAGCAAGAACCAGAGCCATGAAATCATTGCAGTTGGCTTTTGGCAGCAATAGATGTAAAACTGGACATGGGCCAATGGGAAATGAAGGGCTGAGGATTCGTGTGCATGGGCTGTACTTCAGGTTTACCTTATTTTCTTTGATTAGTTTTGGATTTTCTTAGAAATCCTGGGATGACTAATGTGTGGCCTTCGATGTGGAGATTCCCTACATTTTTTTGAGACTGTGATAACTGAATGCTACATTTTGTATTTTACCTCTTTTTTTTTCATCATTCAAAGCACTTTGCAAAATTATCCTCAAAGTGTTTTTATAAATCATGCAACTTTTATTTTAAATATTTATTCACTGAAGTCTTTTTTACCAGAAAGTAATTTTTTTAAGTGTTTTCCTTCTCTTCCCCACTTAGTTCTATTCTAGAAACACTGGTTATTGAGAGCACACTGGTTACTGAGTTACCCTCCCTGTCATGTCACATCAAATCAACACCTAAACCCTAATTCTAAATGGACTCACAACCCCTCCCACGCAATTCATGACCACGTGTTAATTTTGCATTCAAGTCCCAGATTTGTCCCATGATGAATTCAATTAAACAACTACCTCATGAATGCAAGGGAGAAATTGTAAACCCAGAGCAGACAGAACCATACATTTTAAGAGGCAAGAATGAGAGTCCTTACGTAACCCATGCCGCATGCTTGATCCTTGAGGAGTGGTACTATCTATGGAAATAGGTGCTTCCTTTTTATTTATTTATTTATTTTGTTAGATCAGAGCAGTAGTGGGTAATTCTGCCTAGTGGAGGAATTGTTTCATTTTGTTTTTTATTTTTTTTTCTGTTTCACACTTATTTCCAGAGCACTTTCCTTCTTGCCAATCTATACTTTCTCCACTACCAGAAATTCTTCCCCTCCCTCTAGCCAAGTAATGATTGACCATTATATTTTTAAAATAAAAGAAAACTTATCTCCACTAGTGTATTCAATGGAGTTGACTGCATTTGCCAGACTAATTATTTCAAGCCACAAATGGCAACACGGTGCCCTAAAATCAGAAGACCTGAGTACTTGGGAATGCTAAAGGCATTAAGGGACACCTAAAAGCAGTCTCTGGTTTTCCTACAATTAGGTAATTCTATGATTATCTGAAAAACATAAAGAGGAAGTGTTTTAAAACTACTTAAAAAATACAACTTAGAAAAATCCAAGTATAACACTCACTCAGCTTTTTCATGCAGTCACGAAGTCTGGTTTCCAAGTTGAGCACCCTCTGATGTAGTTCCTCATAGTCATAGGCACCGATTTCTTCCTGAATCCCCGTGAGGACGGCAGACAGATTCCGAATTTCCTCCTTGAACTGAGTGATCAGCTTGGCATCTGTTTTGTACTGCTCCAGCACGGGAATCAAGGGCAAGAGCTCATCCATCTTCTCTTTCAACTCCTGTGGGAAGCAGCAATTGTTCCTGAGAATTGTTTAAAGCAGATCAAGCAGCTCCAGTCTTTTTATTATGAAACATAAAGGATATTATTAAAACAGCTTCAAAATTCCTTAATGATTTCTGCTTGAAACTAGGTATTTTCTGAAAATCTAATTGGCTCCATGATCATTAGTAATAAATCCACTTATCTTGCATTTCTCACACAACAACTGCTCTTTAAATGGCTACAGGCTCTTCTACAAAACAAATTGATACTTATCATAATTAGAAAAAAAAAAAAACTTCCTAAGGTAGCAATCATGGGTTTTTGTGTTATCTCGCTCTCTGGTAGCATTTTATAAAGTAACAATGCATCATCTGATTAACAAATAGGAACAGGATCCATTCTCTAATTATGCATGAAGTTTGAAGGAAATTATCAGTCAAATATCTTATTACTAAACTTATTTAAGATTAATTATCTACCTACTTAGTATCCATGATGTAGGAAGACAGCAGGAAATTTTGGATTCAGGATCAACTTTTTCCTCACACTTAGATTTTTTTCTAATCATGACTATTTATTTGTTCATCCTTTCATTGTTCTCAGGTATCCCTAGCTCATTTTAATATCCATCTTAGTACAACTTCATTAGGAAGGTAAGTTCAGCAAGTATAATAAATCATGCAAAGCTTCCCAAAGCTCAAAGAAATGTAGGTTGCTATTTACCATTCTGAATTATTGCCTATTCTCTGACTCCATTTGTCTTAGCATAGATAATTTAGAGGTCTTCATGTAAGGTAGAATTGCCTACCCATGAAGTCATTAACTCTTTAAGGGACCATGGTACATAATTTATGTAACAGACAAGGAAGTTTCAGAGCTGTTAGAATCTTTCTCTCTTTCACAAACATATACCATATCTGCATCTACCCCTGAGTTATATCCCCAGCCCTATTTTTTTTATTTTGGGGACTTATTAAGTTGTTGAGATTGTCCTCAAATTTGCAATTCTCCTGCATCAGCCTCCCAATGTAGCTGGGATTATAGGCATGTGCCAACAAGCCCAGTAAGTTGTTTAAAACTTAAGTTGAGGTTTTTCATTTATCTTTGTGGAGGCAGGGTCTTACTGTGTTGCCCAGGCTGGTCTCAAACTCGTGGACTTCAGCACTCCCCTTCCCACCCCCACTTCAGCCTCTGGAATAGCTGGGACTACAAGTGGATGCCATCAGAACCAGTTTTAAGCATTGGTTTTTAACAAGAGAATAAGAAGTATATTGTCAAAGCAGTGTCCCTTATGCCTAGGCATCACAGGTCAGTAATTTCACCTGAAATTTCTAGATGTGCCACCTTAACTTTTTCCCTTTAACTTGATGGTAGTAGTCAACAAAAATATTTCAGGAGTTTAATTCAATTGTGAATTTATTGCAGATGATATAATTTGTAAAAAGAGGTCCCATTCATGATTGTTTGAAAATAATACATAGGGACTGTCAGAAATCATATTGTATACTAAGAAGCTGAAAATTGTATTTTAAAATAATTTATTTAGAAATGTCACTATTATAAGTGCATTGAAATAGCAGGAGCTCCCATTTCTTCCCTGATTTATGGGCTTGTGTTTCTTGTGTAGAAATTTCTACTTGTTATATAAATTCAGAAATTTTTGATTTGTGTACATGTACATGCTAAGTGGGAGGGTAAAGAATCTTAGTAATGAGAAAAATGCATAAATATTACAGTCAAGAAGCAGAATCATGGCTTTTCTCATTTTAGTGGATCATTTTGAAATAAACTTATTAGTTCAAACATTTTGTGGCAACCCTAAAGGGAGATACAATTGTTTCATTAGGCTTTTAATGATAAGAGTTCTGTTGGTACTATTTGCTGCATATTATAAAAACTATTACTATCAGGATTTACATCTTACTATGGGCATATTTAAAAGAGAGCAATTCAATGTTAAAATTTTGGTAGCTTTTATTCCCTCCTTAATTAAATAAGTATTTTTATATTTTCAAAACTTTATAATTAGGTTTTGGCAATCAACTTTGAAACTCTGGAAATTTATAAGGAAGCAGTAGAGTGTCCAACCAATGCACATATCAAATATATAAAAGATTAAATTATAGTACCCCTGATCTATGTTTGCTAATCCTATCTCAAATTTCACTTTCTAATATGTTGCTCTCACAGTAACAGAATATCTTGCCAAACAACAATCTTGTCCTATAGGAATGATAATGTCATGTTTGATGGCTAGCTCAAGCTTTTCATCCAGAAGACTATAGAAGGAAAAATCAACCTAGGAGTTTTGATAAGATGAAAGTGGTGCATCAGAGAAGGGTTTTTTTAAAAGGTATTTTTTAAAGTTAATCTTGATTTTGGAACATTCATTTCTTCTTCTTAAATATGGTACCTCAACACCTAAGGCAAAATCTGACTCACAGTGGGACTTCCTGAATAAATTCAACAAGCATGTTGAACACTTAATTATTATTGTGATTTTCAATTTAGACAGCTTAAGTTTACTTGAAGAGGTACTGTACTATTAGCAGTAAGAGCCATGAACCTGGACTTTGTCAGTTCAAATCTTTATTCTGATAGATGACCCTGAAAAAATTACTCAACTTCTTTATACAATATAACCAGATGGGAACAAAAAATAGTGATTACTTTTCAGTATTATTGTGAGGACTAAATTAATTAATATATTTAACATGCTCTCAACTGTGTCTTGAATTGTATGATTGTTCAGAAAAACAAGTATTGCTGTTATTAATACTGCTATTGTGTGGTTTATACAAACAAAAAAATACAAGTCATTATATCACTTGATGCTCCTGAAAATTAGGTATTTCTATTGGCAGCCTGGTTGCTGCTAGGCAAATTATATACTAAGAAAATTATTTCTATGAATTTCCCTCAGCTTTGCTCCTTTGTTACCAGTCTTCTCGCCAAAGGTATAATATGCTTTCTCACGCATCCCCAGTTTTGTCAACCCAGATACCTTAAATTGTCCCTTGGATTCACAGAATTCTCACTGCATCTCCATCTGTGCCAGACAACCTGAGCCCCTCCTCTTCTGTGTGCTGCTCCTTTCTGGAACTGTGCCCTCTGCACCTGAAACACCAGCTTACCATTTCCTACTTTGTTAATGACCTCACCTTTGGATTCCCATTATTGTTCTACTATGTATATCCTAACTCTGAGCGTCAAAAGTTGAAATTGTAAATCATTTGATCTTCTTGATTCCCTTTATAATTTAAGATTTTTTTTTTTGTCTTGGGGTAGGGGTAGTGTCACTTCTGCAACTGCTTTCTTGAATACTGCCAAATCTTATAACTCTTCCCCAGATCTTCTCTAAACAAAATCATCCACTTTTCCCTTGTGCTCTAAAGTGATGCTTATGGCTCTGTTAACCATCAGTTTCACTTGACTCTCAGCTATCTTTGGTTGAAGAGGGACCATGGATTACACATCCAACACAGAATTCAGCACTACCTTACACAGTGTGTGTGATCAATAAATTAGGGTTAAATTTTATTCTTTTGCTGCTGAGGCTTATATTCTTCTATTGACCAGTTCTCATAAATTCTCTATTCATCCAGTTCACACTTTTATTTCTTATAATCTTTAAATTTATTTTATCCCCTAGGTCTTGTTTGAATTTGTTCTAAGTTTTTAATCTTCTGAGTTTGCTTATATCTTCAAAGCAAATCCCACAGTTCTTCACTTTAGTTTCAACTGTCAGTAACCTCAATTTGCTTGCCCTCCTTTCTGTCTGTTGTGACTTAAAATTGGCTTAGTGTAAAACTTGTGTCATCTACACCTTTCCTTATAAAATCTCAGGAGGAAATTCCAGATCATGACAGTTTCTGCCACATGAAAATGTGCTCTGCAGGGACCCTGTTGTATGTCCCTGGCTAGTTCCCCACTGTTCTTTCTTTGACCAGGTGCTGGAACTCAGTTCTACCCTCCTAGCATTGTCAGTGAATCTCACTTTCTAATGTGTAAGAAAACATTAAAGCTGTTACCTGGGCAACAACAATGTGTTGTATAAACTTTTATGCTATGCTTTCATAAGGTAGATTACTTATTTTTAATATAGGCTCAAATGGCTTTATCAGATCCACTTTGTTTTTTAATTTAATGCTTAAAACACTCCTTTTCCCTTTTCAGTGTTCCTAGGTAATGGCCAGTTAAAATCTAAAAATAATAATAATAATAATAATAATAATAATAATAATAATAATAATAAAAAGACTTTGTATAAAACAATTCTCTTTTAATATGCCGGTTTGAATGAATGGTTTTATAATTTGTCTCCTTTATATTTCTCCTCATATTAGCAAGGCATTAAAGTCATCAGAAAAATTCTGATAATTTATTGGTTTTTCCTTAGACTTTCCCCTTACCTTAGCTATTGAAGTGCCTGTAAATCTACCCAGAAACTCCCCCTAGCTCAAGAAGAATGAGGCTTTTATTTATACCAGCTAATGGTCAGTTTTAGTGAAGAGATGATTGACGTCCCCAGTAAATCTTTAACCTTGCACCTGTGGCCCAACACAGAATTATTTCTAGCTGAGTGCCATGCTGGCTGTCTATGGCACTCAGTGTCTCCTTTGGATTGACAAGACTGCAGAAGTCAAACCTACTTGAAAATGCTTGGTCATTAGTGTCTTCCGATCATCTTCAATCTGCCGAAACTTGGCCTTCAGGCCTTTCATTTGGGTTTCCATTTTTAAAACATATTGGAAATCTCTCTGAGTTCTCAAGTTTAAGACTTCAATAGACTGGGACATATTCTGAACCTGTTGAACAAAAATATTGGTGTACATTATTGTCTGTCTGTAAGTATATGCAGTCACTACCCAACTACCCCAAACAGCATTAACCTAAAGAACTGGAAGTGTCAAGTTCATAATGGTGTTTCCACATGTCAAATTTTCAGAAAGACCATCCTCCATGAAAAAAACATTCAAAGAATCCAGTAAGAGAAAATTATAACTAGAAAGTATGTAAAAGAAATGCATATTTTTGCATTAGAAATAACTGAATATAAATAAATATTTAATATATTAGAAAATAAATTTTAAAATTGAATTGTGGTTTTTATAAGCTTTAAACACCCCAACCTAATATATGGAAAATAAGTTGTTTCTGGCTAGATGCAGTGGCACATGATTTTAATCCCAGTGACTTGGGAGGCTAAGGCAAGAGGATCACAAGTTACAAGCCAGCCTCAGCAACTTAGGCCCTAAGCCACCTAGCTTTAAGATCCTGTCTTAAAATAAATAAAAATAAAAAGAACTGAGGATTTGGCTCAGTGGTTAAGTGCCCCTGGGTTCAATCCCCAGTACCTAGATAAATAAATAAATAAATAAATAAATAAATAAATGGTGTTTCTGTATTAATTCTGACTTCTTAAATATCAGAGATGCTTAGCAATTATGGATGGTACTCAAGTTTCTAATAGACCTAAAATGCAATCATTCCAGTACAGTTACTTCTGATGGATCTGAAGTACTCCCAGGAGTGAGACTGAATTGACCAGACAATTGGTAGCAGTCCTGGACACCTTCTAAATTGGTTAGCATACTGCTTAAGGGACCTGGAAAATAGCAAAGACATCAGTTGCTTGGTGGACAAGTAGTAAATGCATGATAATCTGAGGGCACCATCTCAGGTTCAAGGAGTTCCGGGTTCTAGAGAAGTAGAAATAGGTGACCCACAAAGCATGCAGAAGTGAGGAGGGAGAAAGGCTGCCCTAATTTTAGTAGCAACAAAAACCTGAAAACAAAGGAAAAGCTTCAAATCGTAGGGAGCTGTAAAGTGAGTTGAGAAATAGAAAATGGATGAGCTATATCATAAAGAATACAGTAGGTCTCCACACACGTCTTACTCCGAGCATCATCTTCAGAACTACAACTTTGGCATCACCTGGGAGCTCGACCTATATGCAGAACCTTGAGGCCTATCCTAGAGCTACTGAGTTAGAATCTGCATTTTCTCAAAATTCCCAAGTGCATCCTTAGAGCTTGAGAAGCACTGCTTATTACTCATCCCAGAGGCATTTCCATGAGAAAAGCAAAGGTACAGATCTTCACATAATTTGATCCATTTATTCTAAATCGAATACACTTATAAAAGAAAATAGGCTATATAAGGAAAAAAAATCATGAAGAAACATATAGAAGGATTAGAAGAATATATGTTAGGTTATTAATATTAATTATTTGGGGAAAGGAAAGACAACAAATATAGAGAAAGATCTCTGGGTTACACATATATGTACATAATACAGATATAAGTCCTTTGCCATAGAATTATAGATTTTATTTGCAAAAATGAATATATGAAATTATGGGCACAAAAAAAGAGATAGGATTTTAAGCAATTTTTACTTTGTTTCATATATTTGTATGTAGATTCATTTATTTTTTAATGAATATGCATTATTTAATCAGTAAAATGTGATTTTTTAAAAAAAAATATGTGAATTTCAAGTGAGTGATTTGTTCAGAGACATATTTTTGCCATTAGGTATAGTTGCAAAACTCAGTGCACCAGCCTGCTGTAAAAAGCCCCTGGTTGATGCATTTCCTTACAACCACTATGGTCAGGAAAAGCAGTGAACTCTGTGCCTTGCCCTGTCTGTTTTTTTCCACTTTTCTATGTCAGACAAGTCAATTTACCTTCTCTCTCTCTTCTGCTGTCTTGATTCATGGTCTTGCCCTATATGAATCCTGTCTCTTCAGGACATATCACAGTCTGGCTTATATTAAAACTGTGTAATGTGAGTCTGGGACCCAGCCAAGAAAGTGGCTCTTGCTCCGTGATCCCCTGAGGTTAGAAGCTGTGTTTTACCCATATCTTTTACTTCCAAGATGTTTCACAAAACCAGAGACAGAATAAAAGTGCTCAATAAATATCTATTGAGCAAAATTAATTTGGGTTTTCCATGGTAATAAAGGGTAATTAGGATCTTCATATTTTAAGGAGAGCCCCCCAGTCCCCCGGATCCCACCACTGGTTAGGCTGCAGCAGTACCTTAAACTACAAAATCACTCTTCATTCACTATAATTCTTACATTCAGAAAGCTTCATTTTTTTTTTTCTTTTAGTGCAGCACAAAATTACTGAGACAACAGTGAAAGCATGGCAACCCCATCATGGATAAATGTAGTGCTTTTAAAGTAATTTTCTAACTTCATTTATGGTTAAGCATGAATAAAGGAAAGTCATTTGTGGTAAGGAAACCGACTACCTATTTAAATACGACATTTGTCTGTGAAGATACCCATCATTAGTATAGCTCACATCCTCCTAAGAATTCTGTATACTTAGGCAGAGTACATGCAATTAGAAAATGATGGACAGCAAAGGTTTCCTGAATACGGTTCAAATAGCCTGTCTTTTATTTTACCTCAAGCTCACCTTATCAAGTTAATTTTCAATTTAATTTGTGTTGTGAGAAAATGCATGGAGAGAGTTTTTATTGAAACTTGATTGTAACTTTTGGTAGTGCACAATCATGTATAAGAGCTACATTTGGGACAGAGGTTAGAGATGGAACTGTCTAGTTGGACAATATTTGGTTGCCTTTACCTTTGCCTGTGGGCTGTATCCAGGATTAGTTTCCTACTGGTTATGAAGACCCACTGAGCATTAATTTTCTGATGACACAAGACACTAGATTCCCATTGGTCCACTTGTAGAAAGGAGACTGGTCTGCTGGATTTCCTTTTCATTTGCTAGTCCCTGAAGTTGTTTTGTATTAACTTTCTGTACATGTCTCTATACTTACACCTTCTATATAAAGTTTGGCAAACCCATTGAGCCTTTCACAGATAATTCTTTTGAAATCTTTATCTTGATTCTTTGTATAAATAAAATATCTGAAGCTTTTCTGAACTTAAATGCAAATTAACTAACATTTTTACTCTAATTCATAATTAGCACCAAGGCCACTTGAAAAAAAAATACTCTGTGGATCAATATATTTGGAAAGCCTTAAGTTAAGAATAACAAGTCTTTTGATTGTGGAACTTCACAGAAACTTTATTGTTAAATCATGTTTTGGAAATCTTCAAGGTGAAGTGTAATATTCAGTGATTTTATTGGTGAGGATGTTGCCAACATCCTATTACAAAATTCACACTTTTGGAAATACAAGCAAGACATCTTAACTTTACAGACATCTTCAACTTCACAGAGAAAATTCATCACTAACGAATATTTTTTAAGTGAACAATTTTGGTCCTGGCATATTAAGAACTGAAATATCATGAAATTAATATTCAGAAATATATATGTTGCTTGACAGGGCATCACTTAAATAAATATGTAGACCACCAGCAGCATTCTGGATGCTGCTAAGAAAATGAAACCGATCAAAAAACAAACAAACAAAAAACCACGGTTTCCTGGTTGAGTGTTTAACCTCAAAAAGCACAAGTTTCCTTTTTTATAAACTTGAAAAATAATTACCTCTTCTGTAAGAAATAAATGAAGTAGATCAAAGTATAGTCTAAAACATAAAAATAATGGTAACTATTACTATTAACATTAATCTGTTAACTAAAATTCCCTTTTGTTGACTAAATCCATCTTGTTGGTTGATGGTTGAACAGGCTCCTTAAAGGTCATGCTCTTGGCCATAAATGAAAAAGAGAGTTCAGCAAACGACTGGCTCAGTCTGAAAAATAATATTCTTTTCAGACATCTTTGGATCATGGCAGCAAACAAGTGCTCTGTCCCTTCTGCAGGCGATTGTAGGATAGTGCAAGCAATTAAGTGCTCCTCTTTTGGCAAAAAAAAAAAAAAAACGGTAAATTCAATCAATCTAGCTTATGGTGACTTTGATTTTTGTCAATCAATTTTGTTTAATTTCTGTCATTAAGGTATTGATAAAGTGAAGACATGAGTATCATTAAGTTATTGATGAGTGAAGGAATGATCTTCTAGAATTTCTTTAAAACTTTCAGATGGACTACTTATTAGATGACGTGGTTTACATTAATTTTCATGACTGTTTTCAACCAAACTCCCACTCCTGCTCTCTTGCCTTATTCATCCTTCACTAATTTCTAATTCTGTCATATCTCTGAAATACATTTCACTTTGGACCTGTAGAGAGAATTATTCACTTTCTGACATTCATACTTTATTTGAAAGTTTTCAATGGATTTTTGAAGAAATGTTTGAGTCTATGTGTGACTATGTACATGCAGTGCTGTAGTGAATTATAGTAATACATAAGATGCTGAGAAACATTTTCTCAGGGACTATAACTTTCTCAGCATAGCTGATGTAGAAAGAAGATATTTCTGCCACACACTACAGTGCATGTATGTAACCTCAGTGACTCAGAAGGCTGAGATAGGAAGATTGAGAGCCTGAGGCCAGTTTGGTAAGATCCTGTTAGGTAAGATCCTGTCTCAAAAAATAAAAAGGGCTAGATGTGTGACTACATGTAGAACCCATGGTTTCGATCCCCAGTATTGAGAGGGGGCTTGCTTGAAAGGAAAAAAAAAAAATCTGTGTAGAAGAAAAGATTGGGATAAACTGTCAGTAATTTGAGTGGAAGTTTAATTTAATAAAAAACCAAACCAAAGTTAGATTTGAGATGAAATCATTTTCTAACATTATTTTCTGGCTACCCAAGCAAAATAAAATATAATACTCATTTTTTTTTTCATAGGAAAAAAGAAAATCAAGATTGAAAAACAATATCCCCAAATAATCATAATTTATTTGTCATGACTTCTAACCAGTAAGAGGCACATTCCCTAGGTATTAATTTCAACAAAAATGACATGTTCTTGTCTAGGGACAGATACTGAAGGAGCAGTGAGAATGGGATCTTGTCCATAAAGGAGGCTTGAGAGGACAGAGTCAATAGGTGATGTTAGCTTCAAATTCAAGGGAAGGTGAAACAAACCAGGCTTTGTGTGAAAAACATGAAAAAAGTCTTCTTAAAATCTTAGAACATTGGTAGAGTTTGAAATGATGTACACAGAGCTAGCTCATCATCACTGTTTGGCTGGTGGAAGAAAGTTACTGTACCTTGCCTTGAAGTAATGAAGCCTTATTTGTACACTAACAAGCTAGATGTGTTTCCCCCCCCCCAGCTTCTCTTAATTTTATGTCAAAACAGTTCCTATTCAATGCCATAAATGTGTGCAAGACCATGGAAATGATATTGCAGTCAATTGGTGAGCGTGATATCCTCTAAAACACATATTACCTAATCTATCTTAGTATCCCTGATGATATTTGAAATTCAAACATGTTGTCATCCCTGCCTCATTCTGACCACTCCAGCTGTCCTACTATATTCAGAGACCAGCACAGTGAAAGTCTGAATGGGGATAATTGAAAGAACCATTCATTGGGTTTTTCTCTCCCTAACTAAACATAAATAACCTTTCATGAGCTGACTTTTATCTGTAAAAGAGAATAAATCAAGGTCATTCTGCATTTGATTGTTATGGATCCATGGATCTGGTTTAAGTAAATTATGGAGAGAATGGTATTGAATGAAATTGAAGATCTTAATGTTCAAAGGAATGACTTAGAGAATGATGATAAATACTAGGAATTATTCATTATCTCTCCAGATAGCTTGCATATTGCATTCCATTATTTTAACTTCCTTGCAAGATTGTTAATGGAATCCAAAAGTATGAGCTCAAAGAGTCTAGTGTGATCCTGAGAGTTAAGGCTGAATTTCTGACAGTGATAAGACTTCCTGCTGCTTTTTTTTTTAACCCCTCTTTAAAGAGAGACTTACAGGATATTAAGACATCATGGTAGAAAGCCTGTCTCATGAATGAGAGGTTCGGAATGGTAAAAAGTTATAGAAATAGAACAGTATAGAAGGAAGCTTGAGATAACCCTTTCAAAGAGCAGAAAAAGCTGATTTGAAACGACAAAAATCAGAAGGATCTTCCTCACCATTTTCCTTTTCAAAGAATGGTAGATTTTAATTAAAATATTCATAGGGGACAGAGGACACCTACCTTTTCCAGGAGCTGGCGGAGTTGCCGGCTTTTGGCATCCCGGGAACATAGATTTTGCTCTGGAGCAACCACTGTACAAATGCACCGCCCATCGGGATCCTGCGCTGAGCTGTACACTTGCCACCCTTCTTTGGGACTAATCTGAGTCTGAGAAAACCAATAGCAAACACACAAAACACAGACTACTGTTACAGGATAAAGAGAAAGTGGTTTGCAGCATCTTAAGCAAAACGTTTGTTTTGAAGAAGTTTGTGTTTTCATCCTTTAAAGACAAGAGATTAAGCAATGTACACACACGCAATGCAGCCTTATTCAGTTATATCTTCCTTATCCATTTTAAAAGATCTGTCTTCTTCAGTTTCCATATTATTACAGATCTCCCACCATTCCCTAATGCCTTTTGTCATATTTTGACATTTTAATGAAACTTTAGAAACATCTCTAATCACTTACTCATGTATGACTTGTCTTTCTACACTAGATCTGGTAGCTCAGCCTTCTCAACAGTAAATGGCAATTCCTAATGCATTTATTTCTGATTATTATTAATAAATGACATTCTGAAACAACGCCCTGTCCTAAGGAACTTCTCACACATTAAAGACCTGATTATTGATAAAGTGGGAAAGATATCACATGATGACATAGGGTAAAATAAATCAACACCATTTTGCAAAGATCTCAGAGGGTTTAGAGAGGTTTTTTTCTTTCTTTTTTTAATTTTCCTTTTGTTTCTTTTGCTGGGCAGAGTCTTCCAAGTTAATCGTCTAATAACTTTACGCAGTTATCATCTTGCCTTTCTAGCCTAAAGCAGTAGCATTCCCATTCTATTGCAGTGTGTCTTCTACTCATGTTTGTCATTTAACCTCCTGCCCAGTCCAACAGGACACTCCACAGTGGCCAGACTAGTCTGAGCATGAAGTTTAAACTTCCATGACCCCTCATGTCTTTGTGACCTTGCTTATGTTGTTCCTCCTGTTTGGAATCTTCCCTTATGAACCATGAATTTATTCAGCCCTTGTGGTTTCCACCCATTTTGAAGAATTGTCTGTGCTATTCCTTGGGCATTTAAATGTATATTTTACCATATTGTTATTTGCCTTTCACCTGCCTATGAGCAGGTATTAGAAATGTGGATATTTTCTATTGACCCTATATATACTCCATCAAGTACAAAAATAGCTGTCTTTACTTTTTGTCTAATTATTTATCAAGAATAACAGAAGATCCAAATAATGTAAATATCCAGGCATGGTTATCAATTACCCAACCTCAAGTATTTTGTTACCACAACAGAAACCAGACTAAGACACTAAGTATGCAGTCCTCCAGAAACATTAATATCAATAATAACTATAAATTAGTTCATATTGATGATCATTTTTCTAACTAAAGATTTGCCTAACATAATTAAGCCTAATTCCAAATCAAAACTCCTGTAGTTTAAGCAATGTACTGAAGTTGTGCTTTAAAAGAAACATTTAGGTTCATTCAGAATTAAAAACAATTTTTAGTCTTTAAACATCCACAGAAAGAAAACAAAATGGAATACCTGCTTACTAAAGGATACTTAATAGTGACAGGGTTCTATATCTTTAATCTCAGCTACTTGGGAGGCTGAGGCAAGAGGATCACAGGTTCAAGGCTGGCCTGAGTAAAATTAGTAAGATCTTATCTCAAAATGAAATAAAAAGGGCTGGAGGTGTAGAATGCTCAGTGGTAGAGAGTTCATTTGCAACTCCCTTCATTTAATCCCTGGTACCCCTTCCCCCAAAAAAGACCACCAATGAACCTATTTTCATTATGTCACTGGAAGAAAGGCACAATGAGTACATTTGAAATTGTGTAATCTGAAAGTGTCTGTATTAACAATTTTGAAGGTTTATTTTTGTAGTTGCTCTTAATTTTCTGCCAATAATTTCCTTCATTAAGCTGGGAATATGGCTCTGTGGTAAAGCACTTGCCTAGCATGGGTGAGTCCCTGGGTTCTATTCCCAGCACTATAAAAAATAAATGAAGTCTATAAGAGGATGTGCATAGGTTTCATGCAAATATCATATTTTAAAAAATTCCTAGCATTGTGCAACATAAGTTATTATAGATGCCCTGGTGCAGGACTCATTTCTATAACTGCTGGGTGTGACTCATTTCTCAGTTATTCAGTCTTTGGGGATTCCCTTGGCTGAAGAATGCTGCATCATCCAAGGTCAGGCTGCTTTCTGGGGACAGCTCATTTCCATTCAGACCAAGAAGCAGTCAAATCAGCAAGAAATATTATTATTCCCACTTCACAGAAAATACAATGAGTTAATTTTCCCGAGAACACACAGTCTGCATGTGGTGGCAGTAGGATGTGAAGCCAGGTGGCACATTCCAGAGAGGCACTATACAAGAGAAATATAATGAGAACCACATGTGTCACTGAAAATTTTCCAGTAACTACATTTTAAAAAGTCAAAAGAAACAAGTGAAACCAAATTTTAGTAACATATTTTAACTCAAGTGATCCAAAATGTCATGATTTTACCATGTAATTTTACAAAAATTGTTCATGAGATAATTCATATTCTCTTTTTAAAAAAATTGTAATAAGTGTTTCAATTGAGTGAATATCTTACACTTATGGTACATCTCAATTTGACTTGGCCACTTCTCAGGGTTCTATAGTGATAGCGACATGTGGCCTCCTTTATGGACAGTATATCTACAGAGTCCTGCTTTTAATTCCTACGCTATGTCCATATATATATGGTGCTAAACATGCATATAGGTATTTTTAGAGATTAATCTTATGGTTATTGAAAAAGCCACCTGCCAGTCACCTGCCAGATGTTATATAGACAAACCACCCATTTTGTGTCTGAATTTGTTTTTCCTATGGAAATATGAGATAAATCAGTGGTCCACCTTCTGGCTCAATTCTGACCTTACTTATACAGTCAGAATCAGAATTTTTTAGCCTTCTAGCTTTCCTTCTGTTTCCTGAAAGTGAGCAGATAGGGAGGAATTTCTCACACGCTCAGGCAAAGAGGGAGATGACTTCATTGTCTCATCTCCTGTTGTGTCCCGGCCCCAGCTCATGACACACTAACTGTAGAATTACACCCACGTCTTTTTCTTTTCAAGGCCTTTAATAACTATGACAGGGTGCTATTGGACATTCTAACAACAATGATAAATGAATATTGGGGAAGCCCTAAACTAAAAACTCAAGAAACTCACAAAGATATCATAATCTTTGTCCTTGATCTATTATGAAAAGCCAATATTGCCTGACCTATCTTATTAGTCTCCTCTGACTTCTTTATATTTAATTCCTAGAAGTCTCCTATGCTAATTTTTATTCCCAAGAGGTCAGACTCATTAACATAACCTCTTTTTTAATATCCTACTCACCGTTTTTTCCCCTTAGCATTTTTGCCTGAACTTCCAGTTAGAATAGAAAGGTATTCTTAGAATTAAATATTGTTAGAATTAGATAAGATCTTAAAAATCACTGGATTATTCTTTTTGTGTTACAGAAGAAGTCTAGAGATTATCTACATAAAAGCACATTAGCAGAGTAGTTTCAATGATACAATTAAAGGTTTGACCTGAGTACCTGGGCAGAGACCCTGTGAGTTTCTCCTAGCATTGGATACAAACCTCAAATATGTCATAAAATTAAGGCTTGTCACTAGAATAAATTTAGCTTTTGGATAAAGGGCAGGGGCCATCCAATTATAATATTAAAATATTTTAAAAGCAGTGCAAACACTGACTGTTAAGCCCAGCAGCATTAATATTGACATGCACTTGCCAAGTGTTTGGCTAACTTGGTGGAGCATATCCTTACAGGGTTGGGTGTCAGTTGCTCTCTGGAATGAGGCTAGAGGGAAAGGTGAATAACATTTGATGTTCATTTAGCTTCCTACCTGAAGATCAGCTTAATAAAAGTGGAGTCTTAAGACTTGTTTGTACTTCCAATTGTCTTCTTGTAAGAATCACTAAAAAGAGACATGACCTTCTCTATGCCAGTTAGTTTGAAACTGAACTATAAAAAGTCACCTTTTTGGCAAGAAAAAGGTAACTTGAAAGAGGAAAAATCTAATTTAAAAGACAAGTTCCTGACAGTCCTGTGGATTTTGATAGAGACCTCTATGTTGAGGTCAGCAATAAATAGAGGAAGCTTTATGAACATTTTGAATGCTCTGTTTTAGGTCACCCATGCTGACATTAAAAAAAGAAGCAAAATAAAATCAAGACCTCAGATGGAAGGACGTACTTAGATGTTTTTTGGATACCTATGAGAAAAGATCTGCTCCAATTTTAACATATGAGAGCAATTATTCAGGGGTAAATAAAACTCACGTAATAGTGAGATTGGCATTTTTGTAAATCTATCAATTTTTGGCAATTCATGCTTATTATTGCCTTAAATATCTTAATACTCCTGTGGACTAGTTGATTTTATCCTGCCCATTTTACTGCTGAAGAAACTGTAACATAGAGACAGGAAGAAACTTGCTTAAGGTCATAAAGGGGGTAGTCATAAAAACTGGGGTTTGTGCTTTTATACAGTCTGACTTTAGAAGATGAAGTCTAATTCCCATAATGAACCACCAATAATTTCAATTCACCTTAACTTATAATGACATAGAACTTTAGACCAATTTCAATACTATTGAGAAGCTCAGTACTTGGAGGGTGCATATAGTTTATTACTACCTACAGCATTACCAATCACAGTGATTACTGATGCAGCACTGTTTGAAACTTTCGTGTTAATTAGAAGAACTAAATGAACTATTTAGCAGTTTTTAATATTACAAAACTCATGAAATATTTAAGAATGTTCTAAATAGGAGAAGTAAAATGATAATTTTAACAATTGTATTTCAAGTCCATATGTTTTGCTTATAATTTAATTACAAAGCTCTGCTTCATAAATCTAAAACAACCATGAGAGAGTTCTTCCAAAATTTCAGGGGGTTCATATCAGAGAAGAAGGTCCTGCCAGGCATTGGGGTACATGCCTATAATCCCAGCAATTTGTGAAGCTGAGGTGGGAGAATCTCAAGTTCAAGTCCAGCCTCAACAATTTAATGAGAACCTGTCTCAAAAAATAAGAAGGGCTAGGGATGTGGCTCAGTGTGAAACACCCACCA